AAAAAACACACCAAACTGAGCTATTTAGGGACCTTTACATAGTTAGTAAAGAAAGAAAAGGAAATGATTTTCACAGAAGGCAGTGCCATTTCCTCACGGACGGACGTGAGATTGGAGAGGGCCACGGGGGCTCCTGAGGCACTGGAGTGTGTACTTCCTAACCTGTGCAGTGGTTCCATTGTTCCTGGATAATATTCTTAAACAGTATTAAACATGCTTTGTGCTGTCTATATTGGTGTGCTGTTTTATGATAAATCAACAACAAAAAGATTGAGGCTTTTCATATGCTGAAATTTATTCATCCAAAATAAAACAAAAACAAACTCTGAGTAAAATTGGAATCGAAGGAAACTGTTAAAATATCTTACAGGCCATTTGCCAAAAATCACTAGCAACCATCAAATTAAACAGTCGCATACTGTAGCCACTTCCGTCCCAAGCAGGGTTAACAGAAACACTTGCTGTGCCCACTCTCCTTCCACATTGTTTTGGTGGTCACAGCTGCTGCAGTAAGGTGGGGAACAAAGCAGAATAATGATTAGAGAACAAAAGACTATCGTCTTTATGTACGGGTGTTATTATTTTACAACTTGAAAACCCAGAGGGCTCAGCTTGTTTAATTCTTAGAATGATTAAGAGTTTTTGGTTTGATAGATGAAAAGATAGAAAACAAATATGGAAGAATCAATGGCTTTTCTCTAGCAATATTTCTGTTACAAAATAAGAAAAAATCTCCTTCATAATGAAAATAAACTGTCAAATGCTTATTAATACATTTAGCAAGAACCTATATTAGGATCATAAAATTTATTTGAAAGAAATAACCAGGACCCTACTATATGAAGAAACATACCAATTTCTTAAATGGAAATTCTTAATACAGACTATGAAACAGGCAGATTTATCCAAATTAGTGTATCAATATAACATAGCCTGATTTTTAGTTAGGCTGATTTTTTTCCTAAACCTAGGACTGGAAATAATACTCATCAGAAGGAGAAAAGTTCTAAGCATGGACAATAAATTTTTGAAAAAGAAAGCTAGTGATAAAGGGTTGGCATGTGAGGTGTCAAACCTGACTGCAGGTGCGTTGTAGTAGAAGCAGAAGGACACCAGCGTGCGAGCAGACAGCCAGTCTCGGGGAGAGGGGCCCAGAAATGATTTGAGAGGGTGTGAAGGAGGAGGGTTTATTTAATTGCTGGTGCTGTTTTCTGGAGGCAAGAACCCTCGTCCTCTCCTCTGTTAGTGAAGATAAATTCAGGATTAAAGCTCTAAATATGTTTTTAATTATAGAAATTACAAAATTCAGAAAAATACTTGAATAACCTTCTGGGTGGAGATTGTCTTCATGGATAAGTCAGGGGACCTGGAAGCCAGAAAGGAAAACAGACAGGTATGATTGAGAAACGTGAACATCGCAGGGCGACTGAGCTGCCACTAGGTTCTAC